CCCACTCTCCCGCAGCCCCACACCCTTTCTCCTAGTGCCCCATCGCCCAATCCCCCCTATCCCGCAACCCCAAACCCCTCCAAACACCTCAATTTTATCCAAAACAATACCATAACCCTAAAAATGTATTTTTATAAAATAAATCATATATGAATGAAAATAAATAAGTAAAATGCAATAAAAATGTAAAAATATTACTTAGAATTGAAGAAATTGGATCTGGATCTGTAAGCTCTTCGCTGGCCGTCCCTCCTCTATCTCTACCCGCTGTAGATTTGAGGGAAAGGAGACAGATTTTTTATTTTAAGTCAATAGGTTTGCGACGGAGGTTTTCTGTCGCAAATTCCGTCGCATAAATAAAATAATGTGCGAGTGTGGAGCAAAACGACGTTGTTTAGGGGGAAAATGTAAAATTTTTAAAAAAGGGTTGCGACGGAAGCTAAAATGAATTAAATTAAAATAAATAATTAAGTTTGCAACGATGGCTTCCATCGCAAATACCGTCGCAGACTATTGGCGCCAAGTCCCCCGCCCCAAACTTTGCGAGGATTTATGATTCCGTCGCACACTCCGTCACCGAGATTTACGGTGACAATGTCTATCGTAAATTCCATTGCCGAGTACAATGGAAATACAACTGTCGCAACTTTCCATCGCAATTCTGCAATTTTCTTGTAGTGGCTCTTCTGAGTCGATCTTGGAGGTCGCTAAGGACTCTCCTCTCGTCTCCTTAAGTGTCTCTCTCAGTTCTCCCTTGCGAGCCGACTGTGTGTCCTACAGCCGATCGAACGCTGAGGTTCAGGGCTTCTTTGATTTGGGATCCCCCAACGGATCGAAGGCTGACGCCCACTCAAAGGAGGACGATTCATCTTCCTCGTCCAATATGGATAGCTCATCCTCCATCCTTGTTTTCTAGTTGGGCTTGGTCGCCTTCTTCTTCTGGGACCGCCTTACCTTCTTCTTCTTCCCCCCGAGCCCGCAGGTCCAGCCTTCCCGCTTGCGGGTTCTCCGATCGCGTCTTCGGCCACAATCCCGTGATTGGGTGTTAGAGCTGCCAACACCTCCTTGAATTGTTCCACTGTGATTCCGACCCTCTAGATGAGGGCCTCCGCCTCCGTCATGATGACGGTAATCTATCACTTATTCTGTGTTAGTTCAAAATACAGTTTTTGTTACAACAGTTGTCAATAACAAGTTAAGAATACTCTATCTAAACAGTAGTCTGGTGTTTTTGTCTAGACCTGTTTTTAAACTTATTAGAAACAATTATCTATCGCTAGTTGTCTGTTTCATATGGTTGTTTTGCCACTGTTGTTTCTAATGGGAAGAGAAGACTCTTTTGTAATAGTAGTATATGAAGTAAGGGTAGAACTGTTTTTAAAGTTGTGAGAAACGGTAATCTTTTATTATTAGTCCGTTTCATCTTAAAATACAGTTTTTGTTGCCACAATTGTCAAAAATTAGTTAAGACTACTATTTCTAAACAGTAGTATGGTTTTTCAGTATATAACTGTTTTTAAACTTATAAGAAATAGTATTCTATTGTAAGTTGTATGTTTCATATGGTTTTATTTTGCATAGTTGTTTATTATAAGAATAGAAGACTCCCTTGTAACAGTAGTATATTTATTTAGCGTAGAACTATTTTTAAATTCATAGAAACCGTAATCTATTACAAGTTGTCTATAATAAATTAAGAATACCTTTTTTAAATAGTAGTTAGACTATTAAGCCTAGAACTATTTTTAAAGTTTTGAGAAACCGTAATGTATTACAAGTAGTGTGTGTCACACCGTTTTTTTCACAGTTATCTATAATAAATAAAGTTAAGCATACTCGTTTTAAATAGTAGTCTAGCTCTTAAGCCTAGAACTATTTTAAAGGTTCAGAGTAACGGTAATCTTTTTTACAATGAAAATGGATACGCTCACACTACTACAAAACAAGCTTTACACATCAGATAGATAAAGCTTTAGACAACGAAAAACATCCGCTGTACATTTAACTGATGGGAAAAGTCTTGACTTTATACAGTGGATATCTATCTGTTGTCTAAACTTTAGACAACGGCTAAATATCCGTTGTCTAAGGTCATGACTTTTCCCATCGGTTGAATATACATCGGATACTTTTCGTTTTTTAAAGAAAAGTTTATTCGATGTGTAAAGTTATTACTTTAGATGACATATATTTATCCACCGTCCAAATTCACATTATATTTTTAAAAAAATACTATTATAGACTAGCTACTATAATCGTACTCACACATACTTTTTTTAAAATTATTTCTCTTCTTAAGAGTAGACATACGGAGTATGTTTTACTCCGTAACAAAACAATAAATGTTATTACATGAAAAACATGCATAAGTATTACAACTCAAATACATAGACTAACATCTAGCATTTGGAACGTACAATGTACAAAATCAAAACTTCTCTTTAAACTTGCAAAACACTTCAAAGCTGTAGAAGTAACTTCAATTCCTTGAAATGGCTCTTCCAATCCCTCTAGAGGCTTCATGTGATAACAACTTTGGGAGCTTCAAGTTTTAGTTTAACTTTATCCGCTGGTTCCAGTCCAACAAAACTGAACTTCTATATATACACAAACAAAACTAATAAACATAAGTATTAAAATAAACATCAAAGGTAAGAATGTTCAATGAAGATATTTTCCATATTTTGATTACCCATGGTGTAACAAGCTAGCTCCAATAATTATGTAACAAATAATGTATAATATGGTGTAATGCAATTATTCAAGAAGCTAAGGAACTTCTATAGTTAAAAAGAAGATGATGA